TCTAAATTGCTAGCTCGGGAACCAAGAAAGCTAAGAAGCTGAAACTTTCAGGAAATTTTCCCAACTCATCTACAACTTAATTTTATCAGATTCAACCCTCCCTTGTGCGGGTGTCATGTACGGCCCCGTGAAAATTTTTGGCAGGAAAATGGATAATTCCGAAACGAGGGAAGCTGGTAGGCTGAAACTTTCAGTAAATGTTCCCAACTCATCTACAACTTAAGTTTATCAAATTCAGCCCCCCGTTGTGCGTGGTTACTATGTACGGCCCCGTGAAATTTTCTAGCTGCAATTTGGGTAACTCGAGAACTGAGAAGGCTGGGAACCTGGGATTTCAAGGGAATGTTCCCTGTCCAAGTATACCGTGGATAATTAACTTCCCGTAATTCGAGGACTAGTATGTACAAGAGGTTCTTATCTAGCGGAATTTCGAGTGATCTTATTACACCACGAAACACTGCAAAAACGCATGATCGCACAGGCCCGCCCAGTGCGCGTCGCCAATGATAATTTTTTGTGTGGTCACAACGAAAATTTTCATAAACCTCTAATTTGCGAGATGCCTGACTATTTATGCAGTTGCAGAGAGGCATTTCAAACAGAAAAGCAGCCACAAGTAATTATACAAGTTTTTTTCAGTGCGCTTGAAGATACCGATGAGCATGCAGAGCAGTTGGATTGCCACAGCTCCAAAATGGGGCACATCGGCGAGCGGTATGTGCACCTGCTGCGAATTTCTAGCGAAGGCGTGCCGCCTCCGCCACGCTATGCCTCGGTGTGTACTAGTGAAATAAATACAGAAGACCGAAATTTGAAAACAGGCCGAATATTGTGCTTAAGTGCTGTACACTCTTATACAGCATGGCTTATGGATGTAGCCTGAAAGAAAGGGCGTCCCGCTCATCCGAGCCAACGTCTGAGCCAGGAGACGTAATAATTCTGCCAACCTAATTCAGGGAACTGGGGGAATACTGAAAATTTTCGGGACCTGAACTTCTTGAAAAATTTCGAAGTATCCTATTTGTTTCCCTTTAATTGTGATAACTTTTCCAGATTATAATCTTTTTGTAGAATGTCGTCTTTTGTGGTTGGAAAAAGTTGGTTATACATAGTAAATAAATATTCCCACAGGAGAAGTATAGTAATATTCGGACTGGTAGAGAGACACCTGTAATCTGATCCATATAGCTTTTTAATCGCTGAATCTGCCAAAACTGCTAGATGATTCATCATCTTTCTTCCCTTCTTTCGAATTTTCTTCTTACTCTACTTTTTTTATGCGTTTTGCGCTGTGTAACAGCAGCACATAACGCATATTGTCACGGGATTGTCTGTGTTTGTGTGTGTGTGTCCCACATTTTGTTCCGCACTTTCAACTCGGGAACCATAAAAGCTAGATGGCTGAAATTTTAGTAGAATGTTCCTCGCCAACGTGTGACCCTGCAAATTTAAATTCAGCCTTTCCGTTCCTATGGGTAACACGTACGGCCCCGTGAAATTTCTTGCAAGTAAAGTTATCTCGGGAACCACGGAAGCTAGGGAGCTAAAATCTTATGGGTATGTCACCTGCTCACGTGTGACCTAGAAAACTTAAATTCAACCTCCCCCATGCTGGCGGGTTGCACGTTCGGCCCCGTGAAATTTCTGCTTGATCAGTGAGTGGTATCTAAGAGAAGGTGAGCGGTCACTACGGCTAACTCCGAAGAGATGGAGCATAAATATCAAAGAATAATGAATAATAACCAAAAGTACACAGCTCCGAAGCAAAGGACCTGGCATTCCTGCGGCCGACTTGTGGGAGCATCACAGTGACATCACTACCGTGGGATATAAGTTTTGGTATATAAAAAAACAGTACGAACTGATGATATACCGTCTTTGTACCGCGCTAAAACAGTGGCTGATCGAAGCGCTGACATATGTCTCGCTTGTTCCGTTACTGAATTTTGGCACAAATTTGCTTGAACGT